GTTTGCTAAGAGCTTTTCTAAATGTCAAGTATCATTTCCTTAGACCATGAGATTGTGCAGCTCCCGGATACCGTAGGAATGCTTTGGGTGTACCAAACGTCACAACGTAACTGGGTGCCTATAAAGGTGCACTACAGGTATCTCCGAAAGTGTCTGTTGGGTTGGCACGAATCAAGATTGGGATTTGTCACTCCGTATGACGGAGAGGTATCTCTGGGCCCACTCGGTAATGCATCATCATAATGAGCTCAATGTGACTAAGTAGTTAGTCACGGAATCATGCATCACGGAACGAGTAAAGTGACTTGCCGGTAACGAGATTGAGCGAGGTATTGGGATACCGACGATCGAATCTCGGGCAAGTAACATACCGATAGACAAAGGGAATTATATACGGGATTGATTGAATCCCCGACATCGTGGTTCATCCGATGAGATCATCGTGGAACATGTGGGAGTCAACATGGGTATCCAGATCCCCCTGTTGGTTATTGGCCGGAGAACGCCTCGGTCATGTCTGCATGGTTCCCGAACCCGTAGGGTCTACACACTTAAGGTTTGGTGACGCTAGAGTTGTTATGGGAAATAGTATGTGGTTACCGAAGGTAGTTCGGAGTCCCGGATGTGATCTCGGACGTCACGAGGAGTTCCGGAATGGTCCGGAGGTGAAGATTAATATATTGGACGAAGGGTATTGGAGTCCGGAATTGTTCTGGGAGTACCGGGTGACGACCAGCGTGACCGAACGGTGTTTCGGAGGCCCCGGCAAGCGTTGGGGGGCCTTATGGGCCAAGGGAAGGGGGCACACCAGCCCACTATGGGGTTGTGCGCCCCTTCCAACCCCTCTCACGTAACATGGAGAGGTGGGGGCGCCTCCCCTAGGGAAGCCGCCCCTCCTGGCTTGGGGGCAAGTTTCCTAGGGGTGGGGGCGCCCAAACCCATCTAGGGTTTCCCCTGTGGCCGCCACCCATCCCCTAGGGAACCCTAGGGCACCTCCTCCACCCCCTTCCCCCTATATATAGTGAGGGAGAGAGAGGGCAGCCGCACCCTTCCCCTGGCGCAGCCCCTCCCTCCTCCAACACCTCCTCCTCCGTAGTGCTTGGCGAAGCCCTGCCGGAGAACCACGAGCTCCATCGCCACCACGCCGTCGTGCTGCTAGAGTTTTCTCTCAACTTCTCCTCTCCCCTTGCTAGATCAAGAAGGAGGAGACGTCCCCGGGCTGTACACGTGTTGAACGCGGAGGCGCCGTCCGTCCGGCGCTTAGATCAGAATCGACCGCGATCTGAATCACTGCATGTACGACTCCACCAACCGTGTTCTTGTAACCCTTCCGCATCACGATCTTCAAGGGTATGAAGATACACTCATCCTCTCCCTCTCTTGTTGCTAGAATCTCCATAGATTGATCTTGGTGATGCATAGAAAATTTTGAATTATTGCTACGTTCCCCAACAGGGGCGCCGCCCCCCTCCTTGTCCTATTCGGAATAGAGGGAGAGGGGGGCGCAGCCTGCCCTGGCCACCCCTCCTCTTCTCCACTAGGGCCCATTAGGCCCACTAAACCCCACGGGGGGTCCGGTGACCCCTCCCGGTACTCCGGTATATGTCCGAAACCTCCCGAAACACTTCCAGTGTCCGAACATAGTCATCCAATATATCGATCTTTATGTCTCGACCATTTCGAGACTCCTCGTCATGTCCATGATCACATCCAGGACTCCGAACTACCTTCGGTACATCAAAATACAAAAACTCATAATACCGATCGTCACCGAACTTTAAGCGTGCGGACCCTACGGGTTCGAGAACTATGTAGACATGACCGAGACTCGTTTCCTATCAATAACCGATAGCGGAACCTGGATGCTCATATTGGTTCCCACATATTCTACGAAGATCTTTATCGGTCAAACCGCATAACTACATACATTGTTCCCTTTGTCATCGGTATGTTACTTGCCCGAGATTCGATCGTCGGTATCTCAATACCTAGTTCAATCTCGTTATCGGCAAGTCTCTTTACTCGTTACGTAATGCATCATCCTGCAACTAACTCATTAGCTACATTGCTTGCAAGGCTTATAGTCATGTGCATTACCAAGAGGGCCCAGAGATACCTCTCCGACAATCGGAGTGACAAATCCTAATCTCGAAATATGCCAACTCAACATGTACCTTTGGAGACACCTGTAGAGCTCCTTTATAATCACCCAGTTATGTTGTGATGTTTGGTAGCACACAAAATGTTCCTCCGGTAAACGGCAGTTGCATAATCTCATAGTCATTGGAACATGTATAAGTCATGAAGAAAGCAATAGCAACATACTAAACGATCAAGTGCTAAGCTAACGGAATGGGTCAAGTCAATCACATCATTCTCCTAATGATGTGATCCCGTTAATCAAATGACAACTCATGTCTATGGCTAGGAAACACAACCATCTTTGATCAACGAGCTAGTCAAGTAGAGGCATACTAGTGACACTATGTTTGTCTATGTATTCACACATGTATTATGTTTCCGGTTAATACAATTCTAGCATGAATAATAAACATTTATCATGATATAAGGAAATAAATAATAACTTTATTATTGCCTCTAGGGCATATTTCCTTCAACCCTCAGCCCTGAAGGTGGACTACTCCCTCCTCATCGTGGTGGCCATCGGGATGATGAAGATGGCCGCCGGTGATTATTCCTCCCTCCGGCGGAGTGCCGGAACAAGGTCTAGATTGGTTTCTCGTGGCTACAGAGTCTTGCGGCGGCGGAACTTCTGATCTAGGGTTACCCCGAGGGTTTTTGGAATATTTGAGAATTTATAGGGCGAAGAGCGATGCGGGAGGCCACCGAGGTGGGCACAACCCACCTGGGCACGCCTGGGCCTCCAGGCGCGCCCTAGTGGGTTGTGCCCCCCTCGGGGCACCCCCTCCCTAGGTGCTTCTCTGGCCCACTAGATGTCTTCTGGTCGATAAAAAATCCACAAAAAGTTTCGCAGTGTTTGGACTCCGTTTGATATTGATTTCCTGCGATGTAAAAACAAGCAAAAAAACAACAACTAGCACTGGGCACTGGGTCAATAGGTTAGTCCCAAAAAAATGATATAAAGTTGCTATAAAATGATTGTAAAACATTCAAGAATGATAATATAACTGCATGAATACTTCATAAATTATAGATACGTTGGAGACGTATCATTCAGCGTGACTTGGACGCGCGAAGAAGAAGGCATCAGAGCAGGCTAAGGCGGCCTAGGAGGCCAAACATTAGATTGCCCTACTCCGGAGGGACGGCGTGGAGAGTGCTACTTGGCTTGCTGAGGCACAACAGTGCCGCGGCCTGGAGGCCGTTGCCAAAGGTATGTGTTCTATCTTTTTGTCTTGAGTGTAAGATGACTTCGGAGGCCTCCAGATGTCGTAACGGGCTCCTTGTACTGTCTTTTGCAGTTCCGCTGCCGGAGATCCAAGTCGAGGACATGGAGGACCGGCTTCGAGAGGTCGCGACGATGGTTGAGAATAGGTTTGGACGAGCTTTTATTCCCGGAAAGCCTAGAAATAAAAAACCAAAACAGATACCGAGGAAAAACCAAAAACATAAAAATGAAAACCGAAAAAACACCAAGAAGCACAGATATATTTTTTCACTTTTTTTTAAGAAACATGTGTTTTCGCTTTTCAGGAAGCACCAACTTGCGAAGCACAATTTATCGTAAAGCTGCTTTTCACTTTTCAGGAACCACAACTGTGCTTTTCACTTTACAAGAATCACCGCTAGTTGAGCTTCTCGCGGAAGCAAAACTGTTATTTTATTTTTATTTTTTTGAGAAGCCAACTATACATTTTCAATTTTTTAGGAAGCACAACACTATTCATGAGGAAGCCACACGCGGGGAAAACAAAACAAAAAGATTTTTTTAGAAACCTAAACAACCAAACAAAATCAAAAATAAAAATGCATGTAGAAAATAAAAAAAAGGTGTGACTAGAACTCAGTCAAGTGAAGTCAGCGTAGTTACGGTGCTGCAAGCGGCATGGCTGGATGCTGCAAACAGCAACAAAAAATGTTGTGACAGTACCGCAAACAACAACAACATATGCTACAACCATTTTGACTAAAAATGCTACAATCGTAAAAGGAGAATGTTGGAACCGGTGGGAGGAAGTGCTACAATCGACGAGGAACGACATGCTACAACCAGCAAGACGGATGCTGCAACCGGCAGAAAAAAATAATGCAAATGATGGGACAAAATGCTGCAAGGTCGACTGAGACTTTGTTAAGTCTCAGTCAATTGAGTTTCAGCAAGCCCGATTAAAAAACTTTCTTCCGCCAGAGCGTCAAGCAAATGACACATGGTGCGTTAGGCGCTTCCTATGATGTCCGCTGGGAATCCCCGAAGGGTATCCGTCAACTACTCCCTCTGTCTTAGTTTATAAGGCATGCATGTAGTTCTAGGTCAACAATTTAACTAGCTAAATTTGTATTATATGTGATGAAAAATATATGTTTAGAAACTACATCTTCCTGAGAATCCAATGATATACTTTTAATAAAATAGAACGCATATTTGGCTAGTCAAATCGATAATCTAGAACTACGCGCATGCCCTGTACACAGATGCCCTGTACACAGAGACGGAGAAAGCAGTTGCTCCCACCGTCTCAAAAAAATGAATAGTTGCTCCTACATTTTCCTTCCAGAAATTCTCAATCCACACGAAAACTTTTAAAACAAACACCAGGAAATTCCACGCTCCACATTAATGGAAGCCCATCCATCTTTGCTTGAACGCGAGGGGAAGATAACACGACACACACACAGAGCGGACCCACTGGGCCCCGCAGCGGTGGGGTGAGGTGGAGACGCAACGCAGGTGGACGTCATTTCGTCATCCCCAACCCCCCCTACACACTGACTCGCCACAAGCGGAGCAGAGAGGCCGCGCCATGGCCCGCATCTAGGGACCGAGGAGGAGGAGAAGCAGCCCAGTAGACGCAGGCAGGATGGGGCGCGCGTTCGTGTACGTCGTCCTTGGCGGCGGCGTGGCCGCGGGCTACGCGGCGCTCGAGTTCGCCCGCCGCGGCGGCTACTCCCGCGGCGAGCTCTGCATCATCTCCGAAGAGGCCGTGAGCGCTCCCTTCCCCGTCCCGAGTTCGGTCCCCTCCTGTAGTATTTTGTCAGCTTCAGAACTCCCTCTGTAATCGAGTCGTAGTTGTCCGTCAGTGGATAGGACGGCGCCACCGGTGCTTCGGATTGGTGGGTTTCTTGCGCTTCCAACTGTATTAGGAAGGATTTATTTGTGGTTGCTTCAGCCGACAAGCCAGGAATGCTTACGTTTTGTTGCCTTCGAGACGATGTATGGCTTATTAGAGCCTTGATTTGCCTGGATAATTTTGTCACGACCCTAGCAGGGTGCTATTTAGGGACACACATAGTAGCCTGCACTGCAGTTCGGTAACTGAAAAATGGCGACTGAGGTAGCAATGGGGGAAAATGGGTTAGTTTTGATCCTCTGTCTGACCTCTAAGGAATCATGTATGTTCCAACTATGCATTTTGTGCCTAGTTTGTAGGAATTTCCCTTCAAGGAGCAAGAAAGGAATGCCAAATTTCTCTGTGTGATCTTAAGATTCAGCTGTAATGAGCAATAGTCCATATGGTGATTTGACATAGTTGATTTTGTTTTTCCATGGAAGATGTCAAAAGGTGGTGGCAAACCAGGGGGGGCGGGGGAATTAAAAACAAACAGGGATGATATGTTGTTGTTTTTTGCTTGTGGAACAATTATCACTCAGTTCATGCCCTGTGATTCTATCATTGAACGTGTATTTCTCTTGATGATCTCTTTCGTATCTTGCCAGGTCGCTCCTTATGAACGCCCTGCATTAAGCAAAGGCTATTTACTCCCAGAAGGTACATTTCTCACACACTTAAAAGTATCAATAACCCACCTAGCATTCCACCTTACCTCTTATATATAATATCAATTGTGATTAATTTCACTGTTTTAAAATTTTGAAATATTACCTCCCTTCTTTCACTAAAAAATGATTATAGCTACATCCTAGAAAGGTAGTTTTATGACACATTGATAGACAGTTTCACACTTTCAAAATAGTGTGATTAATTCATCATGCTACTGTTAACACTATGTTTCACATTGTTTTCTTACCATGGTATTTGCTAATGTATCCTGTCTCCCTGCATTTGATGCGCAGCCTGTTAGTCTTGCTAACTGTTTTTAATTCCTGTGAAATTTACAGATCCTTCTCGTCTTCCAAAATTCCATACTTGTGTTGGAGCTAATGATGAGTTACTGACGACTAAATGGTACAAGGAACAAGGTAGGTTTGTTTAGCTTTTGGTTTTCCACTTCGTTCTAATTTTCATCGCATGTATGCATATTGCGAAATGAGATAGTTCATTAGAGTTCCTGGTAAACACCATACTCCCGTTGTCCCAAAATAAGCTTCGTGGCGTTAGTTCAAATTTGTTCAAATTTGAACTAAAGCCACGACACAGATATCCTCGAAAAAAAGATCTGCTAAAATATATGGTATTTTTATTGGTTCTTCGATTCAATAAAAATAGTTTTATGATCCAGTTGTTATTGTCTGTAATGTGTATGCCTACATCGGCACGACATATGTACTAACTTTATGCGAGTAGGTATTGAACTTGTTCTTGGAACAAGAGTGATATCTGCTGATGTGAGACGGAAGACATTGCTTACAGCCACTGGAGAAACTATCAGCTATAAGACACTTATAATTGCAACAGGTGCTCGGGTATGGACTTATTTATACTTCTTGAAGTCTATCTTGTCTCATTTTCAATTATTATATATTTGATTCATTTTTGTCTGTCTCTGTACATGACATAGGCTTTGAAGCTGGAAGAGTTTGGAATAAGCGGTTCAGATGCTGCAAACATATGTTATTTGCGCAATCTTGAAGACGCAGATAAATTAGTGAATGCGATGAGCTCATGTTCTGGTGGAAATGCTGTTGTCATCGGTGGTGGCTACATAGGAATGGAATGTGCAGCAGCATTGGTTACTAACAAGATAAAAGTAACCATGGTCTTCCCTGAAAAACACTGCAGTAAGTAATATGTTTTGTCCCTTGATTTTTTGTTTGACTTGTTATCTTAGGATTTAGGGCTCCCATGATATGCTGTAAAGACCCATTTTGCTGATCTGTATATGACCTTGATTTGTTTTTCTGCAGTGGGTCGGCTATTTACAGAAAAAATTGCAGACTATTATGAAAGCTACTACACTTTGAAAGGAGTTACTTTTACCAAAGGAACTGTGCTTACATCCTTTGAAAAAGACTCAACAGGGAAGGTGAGTTTCTATTCCAAACTGGGTGTACTTTGCAGTTGGTGGCTAGTAACTCTACACTGTGTTAAAAAGACTCAAGGTTCAGAATTACTTTTCCTGGCAGTCATATCCGGTGGCTGATAGAGGTTCTTGGCTTGGGAGTATGGGGTAGCTGTTGAAATCACAGTCATATTCATTCATTCACCTAAAAGCAATCTCAGTAGCAATTGAAGAGAATCCTGGTCAATTTCTAGGCAAAGAACTAACTGGGATTTGACCATTTAGGGGAGAGTTGCTTGTATCTTCTGTATCATTGTGTAGGCCCTGTTCAATATTGACATATAGCTTGGAAACCGATGTACATCTAGTGGTAATTCCGTATCTAGTTTATCATCTCTTGTCATACTTCGATGAAAACTTGTGTTCTGAGAGTCGTATTGAAGCAAGTAAACAAAATAAAAGGATTAGGTATTTGAACCTGAGTACCCAGTGGGAAAGAAGAATATTTGATACAGGAACTGGATGCCCTTTGAACACCCTTTTCTTAAGGGAAGCCCTATATGATTAGAGATAGTGCATTCTTGGAGAGAAAAATGGCTTGGTTTTTCAACAGCATGCTTTGTCAACAATGAGCATGTTGACCCTAACAAGGTTCAACAATTCCTGCTATTTTATTATTGAATATGGTGTTTTGAGACCAATCAATGCCAACCACTATTAGCTGTACTATTTAAAGTGTATTCTCCATGTCTGTCCAGTTCGAATCGTCTAGTGACTATTAGCTCTATTTTTTGAAGTATACACTCCATGCCCATCTAGTTTGAATAGTCTAGCGTTACTTAAGCGACTTCCTTTATTTGCTGACAATGACTGTCAAAGTAAGAGGGTTACTGTATATTTACAGGTGACTTCGGTAATCTTAAGAGATGGTAACCACCTTCCTGCTGATATGGTAGTAGTTGGTATTGGGATCCGTGCAAATACCAGCCTTTTTGAAGGTCAGCTGCTGATGGAGAAAGGCGGCATAAAGGTAAACGGGCAAATGCAAACCAGCGACAGCTCCGTGTATGCTGTCGGTGATGTTGCCGCGTTCCCTATCAAGCTCTTTGACGGTGATATCCGACGGCTTGAGCATGTTGACTCGGCTCGTAGAACCGCCAGGCATGCTGTCGCGGCCATCCTGGAGCCTTCCAAAACCAGGGACGTCGATTACCTGCCATTCTTCTACTCCAGAGTCTTCACACTGTCCTGGCAGTTCTACGGAGACAATGTCGGAGAAGTAATTCACTACGGCGACTTCACGAGCAACAGCCCGAGGTTCGGCGCATACTGGGTCAGTAAGGGCCAGATCACGGGTGCGTTCCTGGAAGGTGGGAACCGAGACGACTACGAGGCGTTATCGATGGTTGTCCGGCGTAAAACCAAGGTCTTAGACATGCCTGAACTTGAAAGACAAGGCCTGGCGTTTGCCATCCAGGAAAGCAAGAAAGACGTGCCTGACAGCGGGGTTACCCTCGGCGAGAAGCCCACTTTCGTGTGGTATGCGACGGCGGGGGTTGTTGCGGCAGTGTCGATCTCCGCATTCGGTTATTGGTACGGCAGGAAGCGCCGCAGGTGGTGAGCTGATGGAAGGACGGAGGAGGAAGGTCTGTGTGTGCCATTGCTTACGGTTACTCGGAGGGAATCCTGTATAAAAACCTGTACGAAAGTGTAATTTTGTCTCATACTGTAAACAAGTATAGAAATACCATCGTATATTGTTAAATGGAATGAAATGATGTTACGAAATCTGGAGAGCCATCCTTTTCCCACCTGATGAAATCCATAAATTTCTTCGCAGTTGCTGGGCTGCTGATGTCTTTGAACCATGTCCAGTTTCTGCAACGATGGCTGAGAACGCCTGCAAGTTGCAAGCCCATGGCCATCTGACCAAATGCTAGTACGCCGGCGGCACGCTGCTGCAACTCTCATTACGCTGTCGTGGCAGCCAAAACGCACCCGAAGAGCAGAGCAGAAAGCGCACCTTGCCTTCACCGAGAAGAATTCTCTGCGACATTTTCCTTGGTTGCAAGGGCAAAGAAGATGGCAGTGGCCAGTGGTCCCATGGGCCATGGTAGGAGTGTGAGGAAGAGCAAGGGCAAGGCATTTGTTTCCCGCCATGTCCCCACTCGATCTCCTCCTCGCAAGTCAAGAACAAGCTACCTGGGCTACTTAAGCACGGCCGTCCACTGGTCCATGGCGAGCAGCTACGAACCAGGCAGATACCGAGATAGCTTTGCTGCTGATTGATATAGAAGTTAAAGATAATATATATAGCGCGGAGCAGAAATGGGCCGCGCGTTCGCGTACGTGATCCTGGGCGGCGGCGTGGCCGCGGGCTACGCGGCGCTCGAGTTCGTCCGCCGCCGCGCCGGCTCCTCCCCCGGCGAGTTCTGCATCATCTCCGACGAGGCCGTACATATCATCTCCCTTCTGTAGCTTTAACAATTCTGTCAAGTTCATTTCATACAGAGTACGTCGATGAACGGCTGCGCGTGTTCATCCTTTATTGAGCTGCCACTCTTGGATTGGCAGGTCGCTCCTTACGAACGCCCTGCACTGAGCAAGGGCTATCTGCTCCCACAAGGTACCCGCATGTCCATCTTCTCTCTCTGTATCTCTTCCGATCCCCGGTCGTTATTTTTAATCACTCTGCTATTTCCCCGGGGGAATAACAAAAACCACTCTGCTATTCGCAGGCGCTGCTCGTCTCCCAGCGTTTCATACCTGCGCTGGTGCTAATGATGAGGTGCTCACGGAAAAATGGTACAAAGATCACGGTATGTATGTATATAATGCTTCTATATATCTGCACTTCCATTTGATCTAGTACTAGTCCGGTCGATCTCGTTATCTAGGTCCTGTTCAGCATAACTGATCATGCGTCTCTGCTGCCTGACCAGGCATCGAACTTGTTCTTGCGACGAGGGTGATCTCCGCCGATGTCCGGCAGAAGACGCTGCTCACGGACACCGGGGAGACCATCAGCTACAAAACCCTCATCGTAGCAACAGGTGCCCGGGTACGTAAACATCTATCTATATTTGTGCCCATACCTCTGTTACATTCAAACTAAGCACTCTCCAATACCCTGCGTGTTTGCTTGGGAAAATTCCGAACCAAGCGTCCAAGATCGATCTAGAATATTTGGTTCTTGACATATATGTATGTAGGCCTCGGAGCTGGAGGAATTTGGGGTTCGCGGTTCGGATGCGGCCAACGTGTGCTACCTGCGCAGCCTCGAGGATGCCGATAAAATGGTGGGGGCGATGAGATCATGCCATGGCGGAAACGCCGTTGTCATCGGTGGTGGTTACATAGGAATGGAGTGCGCGGCGGCTTTGGTTGCCAATGAGATCAAGGTCACCATGGTCTTTCCGGGAAAACACTGCAGTAAGTTGTCTGTGGCATGCTAGTAACTTATCTGAAGCTCGATTGGAACTCTGAATTTTCTACGTCGATACTGTTAGGACGCTAAGAGAGTACTCACCCCATTGTATTTTCACCATGATCTGAATGTGAGCTGCGTGCGATTTGTGCTGTGCAGTGGGTCGTCTTTTTACACCGAAGATTGCTGAATTTTACGAGAAGTACTACGCTGCAAAAGGGGTTGTTTTCGTCAAAGGAACTGCGGTTAAATCCTTGGAGGTCTCAGATGGGAAGGTCAGCTCCTTGCCATCATATGTAGGAGTAGATCAAACTTTTTGCAGGGGAATTTGTGGATCAGCTACACTCGGGCTGCTGGTAGGGTGTAAACTGAACTGAACTCAGCGTCCAGTAACGATTTTGCATGCGCAGGTGGCTGCGACGATCCTGCGAGACGGCAGGCGCCTTCCCGCGGATATGGTGGTCGTCGGCATCGGCGCTCGCGCCAACACCGGCCTCTTCGACGGCCAGCTGGCCATGGAGAGGGGCGGGATCAAGGTGAACGGGCGGATGCAGACGAGCGACGCCGCCGTGTACGCCTTGGGCGACGTGGCCGCGTTCCCCGTCGCGCTCCTGGGCGGCGACGTGCGCCGGTTCGAGCACGTCGACTGCGCGCGCAGGACAGCGCGGCGGGCCATCGAGGCGATCCTGGAGCCATCCGGCGGCGCCGCGGAGGAGGGGAAACCCTTCGGCTACCTGCCGTACTTCTACTCCAGGGTCTTCGCCCTGTCCTGGCAGTTCTACGGCGACAACACCGGAGAAGCCGTCCACTTCGGGGACTTCTCGCCGTCCGGGGCCGCCGGAAAGCCAAAGTTCGGCGCGTGCTGGGTCAGCCGAGGCCGCGTCGCCGGGGCCTTCATCGAAGGGGGGAGCCGGGAGGAGAACGAGGCGATGGCGAGCGCCGTGCGCCGCGGGGCGGCGATCGCGGACGTGGCCGCCGAACTCGAGAGCTGCGGCCTCGAGTTCGCCGATGAGGAGAGCCGCCGGAAGGGGGTGCGTCGTGGTGGGCTCGCCGCCGGCGACAGGCCTACCTATGCGCGGCACGCCACGGTCGGGGTCGCTGCGGCGGTGTCCATCGCGGCGTTCGCGTACTGGTACGGCTGGATGGCGCCGTACGTGGTGAAACGTGATTTCTCCGGCCCAAAGTTATGATGATGATGTATCCACAATCCAGTTAAACGAAAGGACTACCTTTAAAAATGTACAATTATTCAAACGAATTCTCATATCGTTCATATGACATAACAAAACGATGAAGTTGCAGTTGGATGATTTTTTTTTTCATTCCGTTTGGAATTAACTACTCCCTCCGTCCAAAAATACTTGTCATCAAAATGGACAAAAAAAAGATGTATCTAAAATTGAAATACATCTAGATACATCCCCTTTTATTCATTGTGATGACAAGTATTTTCGGACGGATGGAGTATATCCGAAGAGTGTCGGAGACTTTTTCAATCGACCCTAAACTGTTTTCTCCTCCTAGGACCCCTAGATGATTAGGTTTTTCCCTCCTTCCGTCGGCACCACTGTCGGTCCACCCCATCTTTGATGGTCTTTGAGTCGTGGTGGTGTGGAAGACTTCGGTATTTATTTGGTTCAGTGTCTTGGTTGAGGATGTGTGGCATCGGTGATGTCTCACCTAGTAGGAATAATAGCTCCCACATCTGAATTTTTGTCTTGATGGTGCATCTAACGTCGTTGAAGATGTGTCGAGGAGTGTCTCCGACGTGTTGGTCTTCAGTGGATCTTATTGAATCCAATCTTCTTTCGTGTGCTTAGATCTTTCCAATCTATGCTTCCCTTTATCAACAACGGTTATTGTTCTGGTTGATGTTCATGTATGGGTCTTAGTATGACGAATTACCGACTCTCTACTACAACAATGTTTGCCCGACTTCTCGGAAGATGGTCTGGTTCGGTTTGACTGGTTGGACCGCACATGTGTATTGTTATCAGAAGGGTAACCTGGTGGCTCACAAAACATGTAGGGTCAGTTAAAAGAAGGGTTGGTTTTGCGTGGGTGGTTGACATCCAGCCCCACGTTTCAATATATAGATAATCAGATTACAATTACATACATATATGTGTACGTGTACATGTATAATATACTAGACCCTATTTTATAGGATCCAACCGGAACAAAACCGTATGACCCTAGGGTCGACTGCACCACATGCAGAACAACTGAACAAAGCCAACTTCGCCGCAAGATTTCAAGAACATGCTCGCTGGAGTAGAGCACGATGACACGCAGCCCTGCCGGTTTCTCTCCAGTCCTCCTCTCCACACAGGTCTCAGTCTTCCGCACCATTGGTCATGCAAGCCACCGGCCGCCGGAACATGTGGGAGGCAGTCGCTCCTGAGTGCATCGAAGAAGAGCACGTTGTTGTCTTCCACCTTCTCTACCATTAACCGTTGCTCTCCTCTCCACACCAGTCCCCAAGTCGTCCACGGCACCATGCATCAGAGAAAAGAGGAACGGACCTAAGGTTTACCCATTGCCCTCTTACACGAGGTGCGGGTCAAACCCGAACCCGTGAATTTTGTGATAGGTTTGCATGTCCATTAACATGACAATTTGGTCCATAGATATGGGAGTTATTTACTCAAAATCACCACACTTGGGGTTAGGCTAACAGTTTGGTACCAGATTTGAGCCAGGTCACAAAAAACCACCGAAACTGCGCCTAATGCGTAACGCAGAGCACTGATGCTGGAATTTGATCGCGAAAACAGCAAAACCGACAGGTGGGTCCCACCTGGCGAGCTGACGTGGCAAAGACCAAGCACAAAAAAAAACATTGACCAGCTGAGGTGGCAGATGAGATGCAGGCCCCGCCTGTCGTTGACTACATGGTCATCTTCATCCCATCTTTATTTCTATGGAGCATTGCATCGAGCAGCTTGTGAGCGGTCGAGCCCATGCGAACTGGGAGGTCCATGGCCATGGCAGCCGAGCCCTTTCTCAAGCTAGGCGTAGCCTAGCTCGGCGTCCAGATCCTCCTCTCTCTTTCCCTTCGTGTGGAGCTCGCTCCCATCCTCCAGCCCCCTTCCCGCTGCCGTCCGATAGCTGGCTGTCGACGCCGCTCCGCACTAGCGTGGTCACCACCATAGTTTCGCCGAGACATGGTGTCCTAGAGCTTTGCCTCGTCA